GCGCATTTTATTTTTAGTATCACCTCACTTCCTTTGTTTATTTCACAAAAACTGATTTATCTCAAAAACTACTATAAGGTAGTTTCTCCCCTTTCTATTGCAAAGGGCCCATATGATTTCTTTGCTTATGAAAATTATTTAAATATTTTTTTTTATTATTTAATTTTTGTTGCTAATTTTACACATTTTCAGTTTTGATCATGTATAAATCATACTTTTTGTTCTTTTGAATCTTGTTTTATTTTACTAGATTTTTCATATTACTTTGCAATATATATATTGTATTGCTCAAATATTTTGTTCTTTTTAGCCTTACATTTTTGAAGGATGCTGTTATAAAAAGTTTTATTATTTATTACATTCTTCAATTATTTTAATAATTATATATTAAAAAAGTTCTATTGTAGCTATTTTATGTGATTACATAAAACAATAGAAATACAGCATATTATTACGTTATGTTTAGCTTATTAAACATCTATATTTTACATTTGATACTTTTATCTATTATTACACTTCTTTATTATCACAATTATTTTATTATATTTTATAATTTTATTACAATTATTTACAATTATAGATAATAAAATATTTTTTTATTTTTATTTTTCTAAATAGCATTAATATAGTATTTAATAATTTTTATTATATAATCATTAAACTTATGATATTACTAGTATTAAATTACATATTACCCTATATTGTTTATTATCTTATATTACATTGAAAATTTTTATTTACTTCAAACTTATAATGGTTTCTATTTTCTAGTATATGTAATTTATATACAGTATATAATTTTTATGTAAACTGTTAGTATAAAATAAAATTTTTAGATTTATTATATTATAATATATTTAATAATAGTATTTTTAAACTTTTAAAATTAATAATTATCAATACTAGTTAAAATAGTTCAAATTAGCTAGAAAGTAAACAGTCTATTTTTAAAGTTCTGAATGAGTTGAGTTGAATCAAGTTAAATTTATTTTATAAAATCTTTCAATTTGACTTAATTCGAGTTATATAAATTTTATACTTGACTTAATTTAACTCGACTCAATTTGATTTGACTCAATTTTAATTTGATTTAATTTTGACTTGAGTTTATTCAAATTAAGTTAAATTCAAATCAAGTTTTGAGTTAAATTTAAATTAACTTCTAAATTTTAACAAAAAAAATTAAAATTAAACGAAAAATAAAAATAATTAAAAAATAAAAAATAAAAATAAAATATTAAAATAAAAAAATTTCAATTAAAAAATTAAATGAAAAAATGAAAAAAAGGAAGGGAGGGGGATATAATAAAAAAAAAGACAAGTGAAAAAAGAAGAAATTAAAAATAAAAATAAAAAAATATAAAAAAAATAAAAGTAAAAATATAAAAAAAATGAAGGGAAAGGGAATTAAAAACGAAAAATAAAAAAATAAAAAAACTGGGGGAGAAGAATCATAAAAAAAAGAAAAAAAAAAAAAGATAGGTAAAAAAGAAAAATTATAAACAAAAATGAAAAAAAAATACAAAAAAAAATAAAAAAAATAAAAAAACTGAAAGTTGAAGGAATTAATAACGAAAATGAAAAAAATAAAAAAAAAAAAAAAAATAGAGGAAAGGAGAATGAATTAAAATGAAAAAAAAAACGAGAGAGTGAAGGAGAATTAAAACAAAAACAAAAAATAAAAAAAGTAAAAAAATATAAAAAAAATAAAAAAATAAGAAGAGAAAAAAAATGGAAAGGGTGAATTAAAATAAAAATAAAAAATAAAATAAAAAATAAAAAAAGATCAGAGGAAAAAGACTTTAACAAATTAAATAGTAATAAATAACATCTAAGTTATTCATAAACTGAATAAAATATTAATTAAATATAATCAAGTTTTAGATTTACTAAAATATTAATTAAAAGAGAAACTAGCAGGAAACGTTTAAATTCATTTATCAAAGTAAAAGTAAAAGTAAAATAACTAATAAAAACTGTAAGTATAGTTTTTGTAAAAGAAATAAACATTATTATAGTACTTATTCTTTAAAATAAAGTTATTTAATATATAATAATAAATTAATTTTTAATTCTTTTTATATATTCATAAGATAAATATTAATTATACATTATAAAAAATTACATAATGTTTAATTAACTAAACTAATTGAGTAAAGTTTATAATTAATATATTATAACTATTATTTAGTATATTATAATAATTATATGATCATATAATAGGATAAGGAATAACTAGTTTTACTTTAAGTGAGAAATATATTTACCCTTATTTTATTATCTTTCAAATGTATTACAAGCAAATTTACCTGTAATTTTATTTAATAATTAAAATTATTTATAATAATTTTAAATAATATATTTAAAAATTAATATTTTTATAATAAATTTTATAATATTTTTTAAGTAAAAATTCAAAAAAAAATGTAATTAGTGATATTTTAAAAATAAATATATGATAAATTGTTATAAAAAAAATTAAATATTTAAACTTATATATTTTGTTATTTATCAATCTTAGAAATATAAAATATAACTATTTAATAGACCTTAATAAAATGAATCTAATAAACTAAATTTTATTTTAAAAATTAAAAAATTGATATATATTATAATTTTTCTATAATTAATTAATTTATGCTTTAAGAGATAAGAATTAATAATAATTTATTTAGAAATTATGATTTTATTATTTTTATTATTTTTTATAAAATTTAGTCTATATTTGAAAAATTTTAACATAACTTTTAAGATTTATAAAATAGCTATAGCTGATATATCTACTCTAAAAGTTATTATTAATATTATATATTACTAAAATAATTAGTTCATTATATATTATTTATTTTAATTTAATTAAATTACTAATAAATTTATTATAAAATTATTTTTATAAATATTATTTAGTATGAGATTTTACTTTATTAATAATTATTGAAATTTAATAAAATTAAATTTTTAACTATATATAATTATTATACTATAACATCAAAATTATTTAAAAGTCAAATTTGATCTTTTAAATTGCTAGTTTAATTAGTCAGATATAAACTATACATTATGATTAATAATATATATATGATATAGTTTTTTCATATATGTACAGTATTAGAAATTATATAAGTATAAACTACTTGTTATGAAAAATTTATACATATATGTTTTTAAAATATACATATCATACATATATTTAAGAAAAAGCTATACAATATATATATTACTAACTGTACTATATAGGTTTGTGTAATACCTAATTAGTCTAAAGTAAAGCGAAGAACTATATATATCTATGTAAGGTAATATAAATGTCACACTATCTGTTTACTCAAAATTTGAGTCAATATGTGATTGGTCTCTTTTATTATACATATGCTTTAGACTTAATACTATATAGTCTTAAAAATAAGTATCAAGTGATATATATGAATTTATTAGTATATATGACTAATAATATAATAAATTTCATGTGATAAATAAATAAATTATTATAAAAAAATGTGTTATGAAGTATTTATTTTTGGGAATATATAATAATAGTTTTTGAAACTATTTTTTAGTTTAATCTATTAAATTACTAGATAATCACCTTATGAAATAAAAATCCTATTTGATGATAAAAGATAATATTTATTATAGATTTATTAATAAAAATTAAATTTTTAATTTTATTATTTATAAACTTAATAATTAGGTATAATTAATATTGATTGATAAATTAATTAACAGTTTTAATATATATATTATATATATTTAGTTATAATAAAATTCTTATAATAATTATATTATTTTATGTCTTAAATAAGACTTAAATTTATAATGTAATTTATAAAAGAAATTAGTTATTATTAATTAAACTAAAAATACTAATTATAATTATAATTTTTATTATATTTAAGTAATAAATAATTATTATATATTACTTGTTTTACTTGTTTAATTCTTAAATTATAATTAAAATTTTCTCATAAAAATTAATTACTTTTTTTTTTAATAATTTATAGCTAAAAATTAACTTATTATTATTTTTTTTGTTAATAATTAAAATAATAAAAAATAATTTTATTTTTACTCTTTTAATAATAAAAAAAAGGAATTTTTTTAAAAATAAAAAGTAAAAGAGATATTAATATATAAATAACTTTATAATTATAAATAAAATTTAAATGACTTTTAATCATAAAAAAGATATAAAAATCTAGAAATAATAATTAAATACTAATATTAGATAATAGTATCTATTATTAAATAATTAATAAATAAAATAAGTAATTTAATATAAGCTAATAATATATATATATTTTTTAAAAATTTAGAAATCTTTAACATTAATTTATAAAATATATATAAAATCTTTTTTTGAAATTTAAATTGCATATTTTTAATTATATATTATTAATAAAAGCTATAAATATTTATTTTAGAGCTAATTAGTTATAAGATTTTAAAAATAAAATTAAAAAAATTCAAATCTATTACTATTTTATAATAAAGTAGCAAATCATAAATATATATAAAATATATAATAAATATATTTTTAATAATCTAATATAAATTATATTAGCAATTATATAAAAAAATATTAATATATATATATAAACTTATTAATAATTTAATTTGAAAATTTTAAGTTTAAAATATATTATATTTATAAAAACGAATATTACATTAGAAATATTACTTAATGCTACTTACTTACTCTTTATTTTTATTAAGTATTTTAGAATTTATTTATATTAATTAATAAGAAAAAAAAAAAAATAATACTATATTAATTAGATTAAAGGAAAAAAAAAAATCATTATATATATATGATATTGGAATATGTCGACAAATCAGAATGAAGGATGTTAAATGATCAGATGAGAACAATTCACGAGAACCCCCCTTTATACGTGACCAAAAAATTTTTGGTATAAAATAAATATATTCAACCTGAACAGGAAAAAAGAAAAGAAACCTCATCAGATCCCTCACCGTCTTATTTCACATCATACATAAAAATGGGTTCACACGACTATGACACACAACGAACAAATCTGGCAGGAGTCGGGCATAAGAGTAATCACGCTGCCACAGAAGTAGCAGAGACAGAAGAAGTAAAGCATCTGAAATCTCAGTATAAAAAAGAATTATCAACACTGCTAGAATTATTTCCTAATTGGACAGAGGCAGATTTGCTCTTTGCCTTGCAAGAATCTAAGGGAGAACTCGAAGCTACAATTACTCGAATCACTGAAGGTTTGTTTTTTCAGGTTACATTTTTCTCGGAAATATGGTTTTATACTATGGTTACAAAAGTAGTCGGTTTCTTGATTTGTTTTATGTAAACAGTTATAACTTGGAATAATTAACATTAGCATTGATTAATTCAATATGATTACACGTTTATTACGTGAGACTAATAATAATTTTAACTCTTTGTTAGCGAAGTTAATACACATATTAATAAGGAATTGGTTATTCTTTATTATATTTATTTACAGAATAACACTTTTTACATTTAGCTTTTAACGAATTTTTTTATATTGCATGATTTCTATTTGACCGAAAGAATGAACTATATATCAACAATTAACATGAATCTGTTGCTTTTTTTTTTTTTTTTTTTTTTGAATAGGCCACGCTTCTCAATGGGGTGAGGTTAAATCTCGCAAGTCTAAGAAGGAACACAGTGGTAAAAATAAGCAAGGTGGGCAACAATTTAGTAACGTTCAAGCTCAACGTGGACACCAAAGAGGTGGTTATAGTGAACGTGGCCGGGCCCGCGGTGGTAAGTAATTTAAATTAGTAACATTTTAACAAAGTATTTTTATTTATCGAAGCCGACTTAAACTTCTCGTGTATATATATATGTATTTGTTTCAGAGGGTGGACGAGGTGGAAGAAGTAATGATCGTACTCGAGGGTCAAGAAGGGAAAATGGTTCAGGCATGTTTATAAATTAAAATTAAAAACAAATAATATTTGAAAATATTTATTTTTAAACCTTTAACTTTATTGAAATAGGTTATATGCGGCCTCCGCGTCAACAAAATGGAACTAATACTTCCAATTATGATGATACAAACAATGTCATGCACGGTAAGGCACGGGGTACTGAAAATACCAATAGCTCTAGGAACAACAATAATGATAGTATCGGAGGAAATTGGCCTAATGAAGGTACTAGTACTAGGGCGGCCGAAAATGTTATTGGAGACTGGTCTACCGATATTACAGCTCAAGGTGGTTCATGGTCTGCCGAAAATCCGGCAGAAAATGCCAAAGGCAATTGGACCAACGAAAATACTGATAAAGCTCAGAGTTGGAACAAAGAAAACCCTACGGACAGTTCCCAAATTGGACGGAATGTTGATAATACCCAACAGAGCGTAAAAGGTAGTTGGACGACCGATAATTCGACGGAAAATATTAAAGATAGTCGGATAGCCGATATTTCTACAGATAATATTACGGCAAGTCGAGATATAGACAAACCCACTGATAACTTAAAGCACAATCGAGATGCCAACATTACAAAGAATAACTGGGACATTGATCACTCTAAAGATAATTGGTGTGCTGAAAATGACGGTTTGTCTGCAGATACTCTAAAAGATAATCGTATTTCTGATTCAACTAAAAATGCTAAAAATTTGAAGGAAGTATCAAGATCTCCTAACGCTGTAATGAGATCTGTTGCTCCTACAAAGTCACCGGTATCACATAATTTACGGACAATTCCTCCTCAGTCCAAGACATCTTGGGCTCAAATTGTGAAGTGTGTTTCAATCATGTCTTCCTGTCATTATTGATTGCTTACATGCATATTACGTAAAGATCTTTTAATCATTAATTTTCATGTAATTATATCGATTGGTAGGCCTGAATCAAAGCCTGAGCCGAAACCCGAACCAACATCCGCGCCTAAGAGTTCCGAAATAGTAAAGCCAATATCCCCAAATCCTGTACAATCTCCTCTTGTACCAAAAGTGACAGAATCAGTCATTGTTCCTCCTCAAGAAACATTAACCACGACATCCGTGGTAACAACAAAGACTGAAGAAAACATTAAAGAAGCTATTTCGCCCGAAGTGCCAAGTGTTAGTAGTGCAGCAACTACAACTATAGTAAATTCTTCAGCAAGTGCAAAAGAAGTTTCTCCACCGGGTCTTCACAAAACTAAAGCAAGTACAAATGCACGTAGATTGAAACAGGATACTGCTGTGGTAATGCCCAATACAGGTGCTGGTTTGGAAAAAGTAGAAGTACAATTTGGTAGTTTAAACATATCGAATAATGTTGTGGAAGAGTCTTCAGAAACAGAAACACAAATTCTACTACAAGTACAAAAGACTGAAGATAGTCAACCTGTATCAGTTGAGACTTCACCTCAACCACAAACTACAATTCAACAACAACAGCAAATAGTCCAACAACAAACGGTTCAGCAACAGCAAGTATCACAACAGCAAGTAGCTCAACAACAATCGACACAACAACAATTACAACAAGCTGCACAACAACAACTTCAGCAACAACAACCACAATCATCACAACCTCAGTCATCAACTATTTCACAATCAAATTCTATAAACCGACTTCCTACGACTTCTGCTCAGGCTTTACCGTCATCAGTAGGTAGTGCTCCAACAGGAACGCCCGCGATCGCCCCAAATACCACTCCACAAAATTTCAATCCATCTTACTTCAAACAACAAGAACAATCTTCTGCTTATATAAATCAACAGCACCATTTAGGGTTAGCGACAGATCCACTTAATGCTCCATATACGTCTTATCTTCCAAATCAACATCAACCACCTAATCAGATATCTGGATTTGGTATTGGACCGATACAGTCTTTGCCAGCAGAATATAATGCAATGTATAGTCCTGATGCTCAGCGTATGATGGTACGTGGAGGAAATTAATTAATCAATTGAGAATGATAGATAATTAAATCATTATTATATTTTTATTTTCTGTATTAATTATAGGGATATTATGCGGCTGATCCGACATACGGTCAGGCTTCTCCGGTAACATCAACTGGATATCAAGGTCGGGATAATAAACATACTTCTGATACGGCTACTAATACCAATAGCCAAACCACCAATCAACAGTCAACCGGCACACAGCAATCAACAAATCAACAAGGAGGACAAAACCTTCAACAGCAGCAAGGTTATCCCCTTGGAGTTCAATATTATCCATATTATTATATGACAAATCAGTTTCCTTCAGCTGCTTACCAGCAATCAGGTTATGGTCAACCATTTGTAAATAAATCGATGTACCCTATGTATAATCATCCCCATTCTACCAAACCTGGATCCGCTTCTGGAGCATCCCCGTATGGTTATCCTACTACGCCCACAACACCTAATACTCCACACCATTATTCCCATACTTCTAATACGGGTTATGAAGAAGTTACTGGTGCGCAGTTACATCATCACCCGGGTGTACCTAGCGTTCTTGATTATCAAAAACCTTACGGTAGCATGCCGCCTATAAATTTTTTAGGTAATGCTGGAGGTAACAACCCTCAACCTGCCGGTGCCACCAATTCAAGCGCTACGGGTGGAAAATCTAGCAATAATGCAAGTTCTGAATTAAATCCACCTACTCAATATAAGTCGTATCAAGAAAAGACCTCTGCTAATGCACAACCTACAGGTGGAGTTGGACAATCTGGGACACAACATCAACAACCGCCAACTAATCCAAATTACTACGGACAACAAACTCAGGTGTTTAATAACTATCAACATCCGCAGAATCATCACCAATATTATCAACATCAGGCACATCATCAAGCCACTAATCGTAATCAACAACAATATTGGACCAGTCAGAGCTAAGTTATTGTTCATTCGGAAATGAAAGGAATTAAGATGTATCGGAAGTATATTTGAGATGCAAATAAGTATAGGTTTAATGATAATTGTAGGTGCAAATAAAGGAAGGGTATAGTAATTATTTCTCTGCTATTTTTTTTTTAGAGGTTTTATGGATTTTTATTATTTTTTTATGGTAATTGCTTTATCTGTGTTAATTTCTTTTATATATATATATATCTCTTTTTTTTCTTTGTAAAGTTTTCTTTTTCTAAAAAAAAAAAAAATTACCTTCATATATATCAAAACATTATTATATCATCCTACTCTTAAATACTCATCACAAAAACAATTCAATGCTTATTCTATTGAGAATTATTAAAAAAAAAAAAAATGTCATTATTAATGATTTGTATAAAGAACAATGTTTATATTGAAAAAAATTTTATTGTGATATTTTAAATGAACTTAAATATTTTAAGTACTTAAGGTCTAACTAAAACAAACGAAAATATTTAATGAATATTTTTATATAAATGCACTGCGAAATGATGTTAATTCCTTATATATATTAATTAAAATTTTATTCAAATTATTGAAATTTGTGTATAAACAAAATTTTTCTTTATTATATAATGCAAATAATAAATTTTTAATTTTTTTTTTTTTTTATTAAAAAAAAAAAAAAATAAAAAATAAAAAAAAATAAAAAAAAAAAAATCTTTTCAAAAGTTGAAATATATTATTATTTTAATTTCAATAGCTTACACATAAGGAAAGGTTGTAATGATGAATTTTACTTTTATAATTTAAAAATGTTATCAAGCAGAAAATATGTTTATTACACAGATTCTTGAATTTCAGGCTCTTTAAAATCTTTACTACCACCCAATTTGGAACCAGTATCAAGATTATCTCCATGTAATTCCATTAATTTTTGTACATCAAATTTAGGACTTTTAAGAATTTTAACCTTACGGATGTATACCTAAAGTAAAAGAAAGATAATTATATAAAAAGTTGATTTTATAAAAATAATTTTATTTATACATACATTTTGAAGGGGATAAATTCCTTGACAAGCCTTTTCAATTTCACGACCAATTGATTCGGGTACAAATTTTTGTACCAACTCTTTCAAATCACAAGTAGCGGCTTGTTGATTCATAATATCAAACATCTTTTTTCGAATTTGACGAATTTGAGATGATTGAGCATAAGTAGTTTTTCGAACTTGATTAGGTCGTTTTTTTGTAAAGGCAATAGCAAAGAGACGCAATAAATAACCATCCGTTGTCTTTACGTCAACGTGAGCTTCGATTAGAGACTAGAATAAATAAATTTGAATACGATAAGAATGTTTAAAAATAAGGTATTAAATAATTATTTAATAAGAAAAATTTTAATTAATCACACCTGCCACTTTTTGACCAGAGATCGAAGTTTATCAGAGGTAAAGTCCATGCCATGAAAATTGGTTAGCAAGTTTTTACCTTGTACCTCATCAACTCTGAGTTTGATCTTACGGAAAGCTTGTTCTTCATCTTTATTCAAATCGGCTAGAGAAACTTCGAATACACGACCCTTTAAGGCATCGTTGGCATTTTCTTTTAATTGAAAACTTAAATTAGTATTCACGTGATACATCTAACAACCTTAAGCTTGAATTTTATGATTGATTGATACTTACTTAAACCTTGCGTACGGTTAACGAGGGTCTTACCAATATTACGAACTTCAAAGATTGAAGGTGCTTTCACATCGTACCAATCCTTTCGAGTAAAAGGATCAACGCTAATGATTTTTTATAAATAATAAACAAATGGTGATTTTATTTATATATATATATTTTTACGATTTAAAGTTATAATTTAATCAATAAGTTTTGAAATTTTGAGATAAATGAACAGTTTTTTTATAAGAATAATACTTTTGCTATTAAGTTCCTAATCTATTATTAACTTACATTTTCTTTTTTAACCCCTTTTTTCCTTTACTGAGTCGCTTATTCTATATGAAATAAATGTGAACTTATTAATTAGATATAAATTCAAATAATAATCGAAGATGGATGGATATATATAATATAATATACCTTGCCAACGGCTTTTTTTTTTTTTTTATTTTTTTTTGTAAGACAAAAGATAAAATAATAGGAATTTCAATTAATCGATTATCATGAAAAAATGAAATTATTTATAAAAAGACCTTAACATACCCATGTTGAAAGCTCTACACGAGTATATAAAGAATTGTTGAAGAGCTGAGAGAGGAGGAAAATTTTAATTTTATCGATTTAGATTTTTAATAAATAGTATGTTGATCAATGATCAGTAATATCATTGGCTATTTGATCTAATCAAAAAAAAAAAAATTTTTTTTCCGCATGACCATAATTAATTATAGACATTCGAAAACTTCAAAGCAAAATTATCATGGGCGTTACTAGGTATTTATCTATCTTTATTACCCTCTCTCTATAGAACTCGTTTAATTTTTTTTTTTTTTTTTTTGAATATAATAACATAATATAGTGTGTTATTATGGAAAGATAATAGCGAAGGTCATCAAGGAGGTCATGAAGGATTGATAAAATTCCATGATCGTATAACAACGACTTTATTAGGAAGTTATAAGGAAAGTTGGAATATACACATTAAATTATTTATTAATGCAAAAACTGAAAAACGTATGAATACAACAGTGTTCAACAATGCCAATAAGATTTATTGTTTGATAGATGATGTGATTATTGAGGCCGAGCGTGAAATGGAAAGCATTCTCGAAAGGTTGAAAAATCTATGGCAAGTTAGGCAACATACATTTTATGAAGTGAGTCGAATTAAAATTATTTTTTTTTTATTTTGTTCCGATTAAATTATCTTTTAAATTCATAAGTAATGCTAAATTTAATTCAGGGCAAGGCATATATTATCGGTGACTTTTTAGTTCGAGTTGCCGCTCCCAAAACTGCTGCTAATTACAAAGGAATGCTAGTAGAGGTTTGATTCTAAACAATATTCTTTTCATAATTAAATCATTACACCCTTACATTAAATTAATATCAAACGCGTTTTTTTTTTGTTCCGTTACAAGGTTGAATATATTTCAACGATTAATCCTTATGCAGCGGCACCTATTTTAAGAGAATTCATTGAAATGTTAAAATCACCAGAAATTGACATTGTACAATGGGAACCCAACGCTGAAGATTCTTTTTCAAAAATTGGATTATCTGAAGATACTTTTACTAGAGCACATACTGACTATCAATATATGAAGTTATTCAAGAAATGGGATTTGTTTTAATTAATAGTAATGGAGCTTATATATGAGATATATGAGGATCATTTGTTACACAGCCTTGTTTATAAAATATATCATCTCTAGAGACGCGTCAAAATACTCGTAGATTACGAGTAATGTAAATACATGATGTCAACTTGATATTATTTAAACGGGTGAAATGAATTAGTAAATTTCATTAATCAAGATAATTTTGATGCCAACGTTTTTAAAGTAATCAGATAAAAAACGCTTCAGTTTAAAAAAATAAAAATAAATCAAATTATAAAATAAGTGAACTGGTTAGTATTTTTCTTTGATTTTTGACAATATTTGATCAATTCGAGATTTCATATAAGGCTGCCCTTTAGAATTACATTTCATAAGTCTTTTTTTCATTCTATTACGTTCGACATAATAAGCTTTCTTTTTTTGCCTATGTAGTTGTATTTCCTACCGGATAAATCATTAATTTGTGATTAATTTCATATTATTTTTTTTATTAAACTATAAAACTTAATTGATGATTGATTTACTTCTTTTTCGGCAAGTTTTTCTCGTTGAATTCGTTCTCGTTCCTGAAGAACCTTGTTAAATGGATTAGGTTTTGCCGATTTTCTGTTTCTATCAAATTTTTTTTTTTTTTTTTTTTTAAAAAAAAAAATACCTTGTAAGAAATGATGATGATAAAATATATATAAATACAAAAGAAAAAAAAAATCATTTTAAGCAACTTATTGATTTTGGATTTCTGCAATATAATGAGAATTTTGTTAGAACTTTTAGAAATTATAAACAATATTAATAAAGATGTGAAAACTTACCTTTATGTCTTTTCTTTTAAGATCTAAGGATATTTCCTTTTCACATTTATCATTTAGATAATTAGGTGAAGGTATATCATCCATATCTTTTGCTTTTTGATTTTTTCCAATTTTTGTATCATGATCAAATGAATTATTATTCCCTTCAAAAATCTTTTAAGAAAATATAATCATTATGATATGACTTTAGAATTTATATATTAATAATAAATGAAACTACATACTTCACGATAAAATGTGGGTGTTTCTAAATTTGTTCCTTCTTTTTCCAAAGTTTTGTAAAAGTTTCGTTTTATTTTTGCTTTATGAATAATTTTCTTTTTGATTTGTTTTGCTATTAATAAAAATAGTTTATTATTTATTAAAAAAAGGAAAGAAAAAAAAAAAGAAAAAAAAAAAAAAAACCTTTTTCTAGGCGTAACTTGCTCGTCTTGCTTATACTCGAATTCTTAAAATGTTGACCCATTTTTTTTTTTTTTTAAAAAAAAAAATATATATATATGTATATATATATATATGTCATTTCTGCGGTGATTTTCACGATTTTTTTTTTTGATAATCAAAAGATGGAAAAAATTTAACTGAAAATTTTTACCTTTTTTTCAATAAAAATAAATTATGATTAAATTTATAAGGTCAAAACATATTTCGAGATCGAATTTACATTCTAATTTAAGAGAATATCGTTACATAAATTCTTCGATATCGTTTAAAAGTTGTAATATAATTAAAAGGTTAGAAAACAAAACTACAGTGCAATTCACCAAAACTAGTGAATTTTCACCTGTTCAGACAATTGCATGTAATAATTATTCTACAGCGACAGAACATGTTTCTGTTTCGTCCGTTTCTTCCAAATTAAACTATATTTCTCCAGATCCGTTAAACATAAATAGTCAATTAGTGATTCTTCCCCAGCCTCGCTATACTCCAAGAGAAGCGGGAAAAATACATTCCGGTGCCTTTTCAGAACACCTCGCTGTTTTACGAGCGTGCTTAAAAATTGGTGAAATAGAACGCGCCAGGCATATTTTATCCAGTTTAAATAAACAATGTACAAACGATGCGAAGCAATATCTAGACATAAAGTTGCATAACGAGTTTATCGAAGCATACTTGGAAGCAAAACCACCTAGAATCAATGAAGCTTTACAGTGGTTCGATCAGTTGAATTATCATGGACTAACCCCCGACTTGGCAACGTTTTCCATTTTAATAAGGGGTTATCTGAGGTATGAAATAAGTAAATGTATTCTTGATCAAATATTTAAATTACTTTCAAACTTATTATTGTAACTTAATGAAATATTTAAGACTGGACTTAGATTTGCTCGGATATTCGATGCTAAATGTTTTGGTAAAAGAAATTGAAGAATGTGGATACTCATTTGAACAATTAATTGAAAGTAATTTATTATCCGACAAAGAAACTGAAAAAGTATTACATGTAAGTTTGTCTTCAAATAATAATAATAATAATAATAAACTTAGTCGTAAAAAATTTTTTTATTGTAGTTATTACGAACAGATCCAGAATCAAATACAGCATCAAAAGAACTTTTAAAAAAAATTGAAAATGTTATTGAGAATCAGAATCCTGTTTTAAATGAAGAATTAAGTTTAGATGAGCCGGTTCCTACAAAGGTATGATTTAATCCATTTAATTAAAATTAATTCATTTTATATAATTTATAATGATAATATTTAACATCAAACGTCAAAACCTTAGTCGTTTGGAGTAAAAATTATGAAAAATGCTCTTTTAGCCATTAAGGAAAGAGAATTAGATCTAGTTAAGCGACAAATAAAATTGGAAGAGAATGCATTACAAGCTGCTATGGGACGTTGGAAACATGAAAACGAGCAGCGTAATCGAAAGGACAAACTTGCTGGTTTACAAAAGAATGTATTGAAAAAATCGATGTGGATGTGGCACGAAAAGTTAACCCCTTTAATTCAAGAGGAATTGGAGAGATGTAAAAACAAGGAAACATTACTAACCGGTAATATTGAAACATTTCTACCAATATCTTGAAATTTACAACTGAACTAAAAAGAAAATCATTTTAAATATGCACAAAAATAAAAAAAAGATAAGGAACGCGCCAGTTATGGACCATTTTTGCAATTATTAAATGCCGAAAAACTTTCAGCTATTACAATATTGGAATTATTGCGTCAACATGGTGTAGGAGGAGTTATTGAAGGAATGAAAACCACCCGCGCTGTGCTTTCGATTGGCAAAGCTGTTGAGAATGAATATAATTCAGAACAATTAAAGAAGAAACAAAATCGCAATAGCGCGGTATAATATGCATGTTTATAGTGATGCATAGATGTATATTAATATATATAACTTAATAATTTCTTATTGTATGTTCAATTAAATTTTCTATAGTTCAAAAAAGATTTAAATGTCCATGAGCTTTTTTCATCCGGAAAACTTTTCAATATGGCAATCCGTCGAGAAGCGGCAAAAATTGAGACAAAAGATATGGAAACGAATTGGAATCCGGAATGGCCAATAACCGTCAGAGCCAAAGTAATATCGATTAAGTATTCAAATGGTCTTCTATCAAGCTATACCTTATATCTGATGTTTATTCTTTAACTTTAACTTTTAAAGGTTGGTTCTATCTTGGCTTCTATGTTGTTGGAATGCGCAAATATTCCAACTACTACTATTAATCATGAAACAAACGAGGAAATGTGAGTATTAATATGATATATGATTGATTAAGATAAAAGTATATTTATATATATCTTTTAAAATCATTTAGTTGTATGGAAGCACCCGCTTTCTATCATTCATATATTCAACACAGAGGGAAAAGGATTGGTGTTATTAAGCTTAACCCACAATTAATTCAATACTTGTCAAAAGAACCTGTTAGAGATAGTGTACATCCACGAATGTTACCAATGTTAGTACATCCAAGGCCTTGGTTGACTTTTAATAGTGGTGGATATCTTACATCCCCAAGTATGAATTTAATTATATCTGTTATTTGCTCTTCAAGATATTCGAAAAAAAAACGTGGATTGAGATTGGGATTAAACTTCGACGCCATTATTGAATTTGTTTTATTTCAATCTTACTCATGGAGTAAATCTCAATCACAATCACGTATTTTGAGAAGACCCTCACTATTATAAGTCTTAACTTGCTTATCTAATTATTTTTATACGACTTTTTTCAGCATATGCCATGAGAGCAAAAGATTGTCCTGAACAGTTAGCTTATCTGCAAAAAGCATCGGAAGAAGGATACTTGGACCGTGTCTTCGCAGGTTTGGATGTTCTGGGATCCACGTGTTGGGTAGTCAATAAGAAAGTATATAAAATTGTTTTAGAAGTTTGGAACAAAGGAGAGGCATTAGGCAAAATACCACCAGCCGAAATAGATTTAAAGGCTCCTGCTAAACCTGAAAATTATGAGACTGAGATGCATGCAAAAGTAAAATGGTTTAAAGAGTGTAGAGCAATTTCTCGTAAAATAAGTAATAACCATTCTGAAAGATGTACAGCAAATTATAAAGTCGATATTGCTGGTGCCGTAAGTAAAGCAAATATTTTGTAAGGTGGACTTGTATAATATAACTAATAAGCAAATTCTGTTATAGTTTTTAAATGAAACTATGTACTTTCCTCATAGTCTTGACTTCCGAGGTCGTGCATATCCGATACCACCACTGTTTAATCACTTAGGAAATGATTTGTGTAGAGGTCTGTTGCTGTTCAAAGAAGCCAAACCATTAGGTAAAAATGGGTTGAATTGGCTCAAGATTCAAATTGCCAATCTAGTTGGGTTTGACAAAGCTTCTTTCGAAGACCGTATAAAATTTACAAACGATCACATTGAAGATGTAAAGGATTCTGCTATAAATCCTCTTAATGGTAAATGCTGGTGGAAAGAAGCCGAGGATCCTTGGCAATGTTTGGCAGCATGTTTTGAATTACATGAAGCATTGGAATCTTCAGATCCGGCAAAACATCTATCACAGATTCCGATACATCAAGATGGTACATGTAATGGATTACAACATTATGCAGCACTTGGTGGTGATTTGGAAGGCGCAAAACAGGTCAATTTGTATCCTTCAGATAAGCCATTTGATATATATACTGGTGTGGCTACAAGAGTAAATGAATTGTTGGCAAGTGACGCAAAAAAAGATGATGAACTAGCAATAATATCTTGTGGCAAAATTACTCGTAAAGTCGTCAAACAAACTGTGATGACTAGTGTTTATGGCGTGACTTTCGTTGGGGCCAGGTTACAAATAGAATCCCGTCTTAAAGAGATTGAAGACATTCCTCAGGAAAAAGTTAGAGATTTATCGTTATACATTACTAAACTCGTATTTAAATGTCTTGGAGAAATGTTTCATGGAGCTAGAGCTATTCAAGACTGGCTTGTTGAATGTGCTAAGCGGATTTCAAAAAGTGTACCATCAGAAGTTGTATTTTCGGATCAAAGTTTATCTGAACATAGAATTGAAGGTAAAAATTTTATGGATAATGATCTAGAAAATTTACAAGATTCATCTGGGAATGGGAACGAAGAAAATAATATGAATAATAATATAAATGAAATAAATGACGACGAGGAGAATAAACATAACAATTTGACTAATAAAAAAAGATCTATTGTCATAATACCACCTAGTAAACCCGGTCTAAATCAAATGACAACTGTAGTTTGGACCACACCATTAGACTTGCCTATTGTACAGCCTTATCGTAAATTAGGCAAGAAAGCCGTCAAAACAAATCTTCAAACTATTAACATTGAAGATCCAGGTGTTCCTAGTCCGGTGAATTCTATTAAGCAACGGGCGGCATTTCCTCCTAATTTTATTCATTCACTTGATGCGACCCATATGTTAATGACTGCACTGGGTTGTAAGGAAAAGAATTTGGAGTTTGCTTCTGTGCATGATAGTTTCTGGACACACGCTTGTGATGTGGAGGTTATGAATGAAACAATACGTGACCAATTCGTCAAACTTCATGAACAACCTATCATGGAGAATCTTCGAAATGAATTTATCAAGCGTTATAAAGGATATAAAGTTCCAATTAAAGTTCTAAGGGAAGATTTTGAACATTTAAAATCGCAAAAAATGAAAGAAACAAAGAAAGGTACGACAACAATAACGGATAATGGGTACGAACAAATTCTTAGTTTGGATGAATTATATAAGATCGTTCCAAATTCTCAAAAGAATAAGGATTCAAAACTCAGAGAATTTGCAAACACTTTAAGTGCAAATGATATAATTGATCTGGGCAATGAAGCAGCAAAATCAATAATTGACATAACGGAATTTGACAGTATATCGGACGATTTACTTGATGAGGAACATGATGTAGATGAGGAAAAAGAAACAAATAAGAAAAAGAAAAAATCTTCAAAATTTGTACATATCTGGGTAGATTTGACTTTTCCAGAATTGCCAGCGAAAGGCGATTTTAATTTATCTACAATCATGAAAAGTCGATATTTCTTTAATTAATCATTTTATTTATTTTTTAATTTAATAAACCTTGCGAGATATAAAATGGTTAGTGAAGATTTGCGTGATCACGTTATAGACGAGCGAAAATTTTTAAATCTTTGTAATAAAGAATTAAAACAAAATTGTAAAATATTTATTATATATCACTAAAATATACTGTGTAATATGATCTGCTAGTTTTAATTAAAACCCTTTCTTTGGCAAATTTAGCGACGTCTAAAAAAGTGCCAACAGTCGGAACATATAATTCGGATAAATTTCGGCACGAATTATAAAGTGCGCCGCCAAATATAATATCAAATAAATATATAATTAAAAAATTAATTTTTTTTTTTTTTTTGAAAAAGGATTGTCTAGCAGAAAATTTACCTGCGAACGTAAAAAAAAAAGTATTAATTTCTTAATAAAATATTAAATATTATTTAGTAATATAAGTAATGTAATAATGATAGTTTAATATAAAATTTTATTAAAGTTTATTAAGATAATTCAATTTTAAAATTAAATTTTAATAAATTCATGTTAATAAACTGATTGAATCACTTTACTACTAATAGAAGTTATATAAATTATAATAATTATAATAATTAAAGTTATTCTTCATAATAAATTTTATAATATTCTATTATGATTAATATTGTTAAAAGTAAATTTTAATAAAAATTACAAATTTTTAGTTTATAAATAACTTTAGATTTTTTATTATATAATTAAAAAATAAAGGTTACTATGATTTAATGGAATGTGTTTGTAATCTAAAGGATATAATAATATAAAAATAATATTATAATTATTATATATTTAATATAAAAATTACATATAAATTATATATAAAAATCACTTATTTATTTATAATAGTAAGTTATTTTAATGGTTTTTTTAATTTTTTTAATTAAAAATCAAAAAATCAAAAATAATTTTAATGATGTATTAAAAATTATAAAAAATTTAATAATTAGAGATTTTAATAATATACAAATAATTTTTGATAATAATAGAAATTATGTAATATATTTTTATAATTAAACAGAATTTTTATTAAAATATCTTAGATTAATTTCTAATTTTTTAAATAAAAATAAATAAATAAAATAAAATCAAAAAAAAATTTAATAAAAATATACAAATTATAAGTATATAAAATTAAAATGCTAATATTACATAATTTCAAAAAAAAAACATTTCTTATATTATTAGTTAAAAATAATAATATTTATATAAATAAATATATTAATATATTAAAAAATAAATATTATTTATTAACAAATATTTTTAAATCATAAAAAAATTTATTAATTATTTTTTATTAATTTAATTTTTTTTAATATAATTAATTTTAAAAAAAAACTATAATGTAAAAAACTTTTGATTTTGATTTTTTATTATATAATTATTATATAATTGATAATAAATTCATTTAAATTAAAAATAATCAGTTTTAAAGTTTTTATAAAATAAGTAATTGATTTTATTTTATTTTTTTTTTATAAAATTAATATTTCTATTTCTCTTTACAAATTATTTTAAATAAAAAAATTTGATTTTCTTTTTTCTCTATATGTTTATATTTAATAATAAAGAAATAAAAGTGTATAAAAGAAAAATACAGTCAACTCTTGATATAGCGAACTCTTGATATAACGAATTTTTTGAACAAATATAATAAAAA